ATATACATTCCGTAATTAATTCAATCATTTGTATCTGATATATATATATATATATATATATATATATATATATATATATATATATATATATGTATGTATGTATGTATATGAAGAAATAGTTTTAAGGTATGCTATATTTATGGGATAAAGTGCTCAATGTCAAATATAGAGCGTATGTAAATATAAACGTGAACACTGAAGTCAACACTCAGAGGCGACAGACAGGCCTGGTGATTGCGTTTAGCATGAAACAGTCTGTCGCCGCTGAGTGTTAACGTCAATGTTCACTTTTACATATATATATATATACTAGCAGCATGGCCCGGCGTTGCCCGTGCTTGATTCAAAAATAGTACGACTAATACGGCAATCGCTATCACTTCACTTAAAATATTTTTGCCCTTCCTTGCCGTTTTTTTAGAGGAGTTCCCTTTGCCGTGCTGATGTTGTTACATGCCTTACTTCTTGCCTATCTCACACTGCCAACTTTTTCTAAGCTCTATAGTAAACATTAAATCTGTTACGAAAAAAAGCACTAAACAAAATAAACACAATATGATCAGCTTTAAAAACCGGAAAAAAACATTTTTAAGGGTTGACCGATTGTCGATTTGCACTCTGTTTGGGGGGGCGCTCAGAGTTGAAACTTCACATGATGACTCCCAATGGCCTCTTCATAAATCCGTTCGGTTTTCGCTAAAAACCGACATGCGGTTCAGACGCAATCTGGGCGTATCGGTTTTGGGTTTTATCGATTTCTCGCGCTGTTTAGGGGTCCGTGGTCATGAAACTTCTGGACAACACTTCTAATGGTAGACTCTAAGAGGGTGTCAAATTTGGTTGAAATGCGATCATTCCTTCTGTAAGCAGAATTTTTTTCGATTATCGATTTTTTCGATTATCGATTTTTTCGGAACCTGATTCCGAACTCAAAAATCGGGCTCCGTCATGTCCTTACGGCAGCCATTTGCAAACTTGTGTTGAAAACCGCATCGAAATCGGGTGAGAAATGCGGCCTGGGCGAGGTAACAACGCCCACGACAGACATACATACAGACATGAGAAATATAGATAGCAGATAGATAGATAGATATATAATTTTTGAATTCTTTATTTTAGGATATTACATCAAAAACATGTCAAAAAGCGATAAACAACTGCAGTCGTGTTTCGATGCGAATCAACGCATCTCATCAGGCGACGAGATGCGTTGATTCGCATCGAAACACGACTGCAATTGTGTAGCGATTTTGACATGTTTTCGATGTAATATCCTAAAATAAGGAATACTGCTCTACTTTGTATTGACCCTTTTTAAATTAAATATTACGAACGTTGGAATTGTACCTTATTCGATCTCATCTTAACTGTATATATATATATATATATATATATATATATATATATATATATATATATATATATATATCATAAGTTTAGGTTCTAACGTTGCAGCTTTGTCCGGATTACTTACCAATTACAGGATACTCCAGAAGTGCAATGCACTTTTCCCCCCTCCACACTCAAACCGGCTGAATTTTGGCAAACACATCTCGCTTTTCTCTATACCAGAAAGTTTTTCAGTTTCATAAACAGTGATTTAAATATTTATCTTCCTACCGGACGAAACAGACGACCAATTAAGTCAGCCGCACTCAGGTGATGCACTTAACGCGCTGAGACTATGTTTTCAAAATGAACTACCATATGCGACGAAACTGGTTAGATTTACTAGTCTATCTTGGAATGATTCCAGATCGTTTGTAAGAAAATCTGAATGGAAATATTCTCAAAACTTTTATTTATTAATAGATATGTTTAAACAAAAGCGAATAATTATTGTATATTCGTTCATTTGATCTCGAATAATCAATAAGTGTGTTGTTGATAGATTGAATAAACAAAAGTGGATAAAAAACAATAGAATTATTTTCGTACTCATGATTATTACAATTACGTACATCCATTCAATTTATAAACAACTCTAATAATCTATTTTTCTACCACTAATAATAATAATACTTCGAATATTACTACTATTATTAATACTACTATTATTATTATTTCTGTTTCCGTCCTCCCGCCTATTTTTCTAATATCCGTGCCACTTTTTTCATTACCTCCTCCTCATTCCCCTTTTCCTTTCCTGTTTGTTTTTCGTTTGTTTATTTTGGCCGATTTTTATTTATTTATTTTTATTTATTTATTTATTTGGTTTGTTTATTTATGTTTTTACACACCCTCTATATTCTCACTTTTATCCTGTTCCAGTTTTGCCAAGTGACACTATTTGGATCTTATGTAGCCACCGCTTAGGTACCGTCACCCTGCAAGACATCACAGGACCACGTACAGTTTCCATCTAATGAAAGTAACCAGCTTGCAAGGGACACGTGCCGATAAATGACTCCACCTTGCCATCAAATTAATGAGAAACGTTTATTTGGCTAATTTTATTTGGGTGCGTTCACACTGACCGCAGCAGTGATAGTTAAAACATCATGTGACAGTTAAAACAACACCAAACCATACGCCATTGCTTATGTTCAGCGAGTTATCCATAGAGAATATTTTCATCTGAATAGACGAAGAACTGATTCATGTTGATACTTTTACCAAATCTTTCATTAAGGCCTTAGAATTGCCCCGTTAATTAACTGAAAATGTGGACTTACTCCAGCCATTGCTTCTGTGACTTCCGGTTGTATTTATCACTTCCTGCTTACAAAGGATGCCACATGTAGCTATAAGTAATGAAGCGATCGTGTCGTTACGGGCTCCTCTTAAAATAGACATAATCGAAATAAAAAGACTCTTATATTTCTTTTCCATACGACTAATGTTTTGCATTTTCTTTTCAGCTTGAGAAAAACACTTATTCACATACCAGCTGGGTGATTTTTATTTGCCAGTCAAGATGATTTTACAACTATCCATAAATGTTATATTTTTTCGGTAAAAAAATATTCTACTCACTAACTAATATGTACTCTCCACACATAATTAAGAATAAAATATAAAATGTTTCAAACTGGAGTACATTCGAGTCTATCTTCTTCAATTACTTTTAAGTACTTTCATTAAAAAAAGAACATTTTGAATTGATGCTGTTACTGATATAACAAAAGTAGTCTGTATTTATTCAATCGAAGTTAGCCGAGGACATGAAGGGGTAAAACAAGCAACATGAAGACCCACTTCAGACCACAATTATTTGGGAGTTTTTGAAATTCAATTTGTCAGTATGCTACCAGGGATGTAAAAGAGGATACATTTATAAAGCAATTGTTAAGTTTGATGAAAATTAGTTGAAAGATCAACGAAATATAAGATAGAAACCAGTACAAATCGCCATTTTTCGCTGTTTACGCGGCTTTTCACTATATGAGCGGACTCAGTTATCAAGTTAAAGGACTGTTAAATAATCAACTTATTGTTAGCTACAATTGAGAGAAGTTTGTATTAGATTGCTTGAAAATTGAGGGAGTTTTTAGTTTAAAATTTGTGTTGAAATTGATTTGTGTTAAAATCAGTTTTTCGTTTTTCGCGGTTTTTCGCTAAACGCAGTGGCGTAGAAATAAAAAAAATAGGTATCGTTCAGCTCATCATGATGTAAGTAACCTACATACCAAGTTTGAAGGAAAATTTATCGATTTTGATCGACTTGATCGATTATTGATTTTTTTTTTAAATTATCTATTTTTTACGCTAAGAACCTAGCTCTTACATTGTAATATGCCAAGTTTGCTCAAAATCGGTTGGATGGATCTCGAGTGAAAAGGTATCACACTGACAGACAGACACACAGACATCATCTGTTTTATTTAGAGAGATGTTCATGTAACTATGAAAGGTCTTTAAACACAAAGAATTATAAAAACGTTTTAGAGACTATTTCCTAAGCAGAAATTATGAAAAGTCACAAAACTTCTGGGATGCACTTCATATAATTTTTGGACTTGAAGAAACCTTTAAAAAAATACACCCCAGCTGAGATTGTTACATTCTTTTATACAAATGTCTTTTGAAAAGACAGGAACACATCTCTTCTTTCTTTAGCTATGGGTTAAACTGTATAACAGACTGAACTCTACAGCCTGAGCAGGACAACCATTCCAAGGACAACACCGAATTCAAAACCCTAGCGAAGGCAACGAAAAAAACCATTCCCCTATAATTTCCAAGAACAGTTATAGCAATTCACAATATACAGCTATGAAAAAAAGGAAGACGTGGAGAGCCATAATTATCAACCTCATGTTGGTACATGACATAGATAAAATTGAAGAGTCCATATGGGAGGTGAAAATAAAAACTGGTATATATTGGCCTACCTATCAAGAAACTTTCTTTACTACTTCGACGTGATATAATTATTAGTAAGCTTGTCAATAACGACTGAGTAGTGAGTTTGTTACTCACTAAGTTCCCCATACTTCCGGGATTGTGCTACATCTAAGCTACGCTTAGAAATTCATCATATCACGAACCTTTTGTATCAATGTTATCCAATACTCAGTTATGTACCATGTGTGATACACGCTTAGGCGATCATGTATCTTTCCATACATGACTGACGTTTCGCAGCCATAGAGAAGGATAGTCCGAACAATAGCTTAATAGATGCGCCCCTTCGTAGCCGTGGAAATCTCCCGTCGCTCCCATAGTGACCGCTTGAGATACACGAATGCGGACCTTGCAGCTCCTATACGACGTTCAACTTCAGCAGCAGCCTGCCCGGATGGTATTATGGTTGAACCGAGATAGACGAAAGACTGCACATTCTCCAGATTGACCCCGTCCAGCGTCAGTGGCTGCCAGTTGACTGGATCAACCAGGGATGGCATAACTTTGGCCTTCGAGGCATTGATGGTCATACCCACATCCCGTGTTGCAGCTTGCACACGGTTGAGCGCAGCTTGCACATCGTCACAGTTCGATCCGACCAAGACAATGCCGTCCGCGTAAGCCAGATCAGACAGCCTGACATTCCGACCAACCGCGACTCCAGCGAAGTCCCGAAGGGCCTTGCCGAGAATGTAGTCGATTGTATAGTTGAATAGAGTAGGGGATAGGACACACCCTTGCCGTACACCAGTTTTCACCTCAAACGTCTCCGAATCCTCACTATAAGCACGAACACGGTCTCGCGTCTCACCGGTAGTAGCCCTTGATGAGACGAAGGAGTTTAGCGGACATACCAACGTATATATATATATATATATATATATATATATTCTCATCCATTTTAATAATAAATCGTTTTTTAGTCATACATCAATGTTTCCTCCTCGGCTGTTTGTCAGTTTGCGATGAGTTGTTGGCCGAAAAGCTTACCTTAAGGAAAAATGCAGACTAAAAAAATACGCCATAACCTTTTTTTAATAAACTTTATGTCAATACCAAAATTTAGAACCAAACAAAATATACAACACAAATAAATAAAATATATTTAAAATAATAAATAAATAAATGCGCACATGAAATGTCATAATTGTAAAATAACTTAAGCCCTAAACAAACGAACCAAAGAGGGTGGTTTTCCTCTTACTTCCCTTAATCGTCCTGTGACCTATATACATAACCCAGGAAAAGAGTAGTTATCATTATATGCAGATAGCTTGAGGCGTGATGCTAACCATCAACAATTAGTGCATATTCCTATATCACAAACAATTTCAAATACTGGGCAATCTTCCCCCATAAATACAGCACATTTTAAATATATTGATTTGTTTTTTTACGGCTTATCAACCTTTTGCAGGCTTATTAAAGCCAGAAAATATTTTTAGATCGTAAGGATTGCGTTAAAAAAAATAATAATTAACTAATTAACCCATATCTGGGGGGAGAAGAGATGGATTCAGAGTATTTGAGCATAAATGAATATAACGAATCCAACGAAAACTGGAGCTTGACTCTTTGATTAACAGTTCATATCCATTATCCGTTAGACCATCCGCTCACCCAAGCTTACAGCACCTGGTATTCCCAAGTGGTCACCCATCTAGGTACCTGGCACGACGATGCTTAACTTAAGTGATCGTACGGAAGACACTATTAGAAGTCCGTTGATAGTATTTGCTTTTAATCCTGATGGGTGTCTAGCCACCATTCTCGCCAGAAAATTCTGGTCATCGGTGACTAAACCGGTTCCCCGGTTTAGTCACCGATACCCCGACTATGCAGTAGGTGACCTGGCACAATATATATATATATAATATATATATATATATATATATATATATATATATATATATATATATATATGATCATATGACATGACATATCAACATGCATATATATATATGATCAAATATATAATAGATAAATCTATAAAAGATGTATATATATATATATATATATATATCTCTCTGCTTATATATATAATATACCCCATGTTACCCTATGCCTTAATGAAAATTTGAAATTATTATATTTAAAAAACTCTCTCTCTAAATCTCTCTAAATTGTAAACACCGTTATAAATTTCTCTCTCTTTAAAGTAATTATCTGTATTTTTAATAGATTAGTATTTTTTAATAATTATATTTTGCAGGTGTCATGAACGTTGGTCGATCGTCATTATCCAAATAAAACTGAAGCAGCCGACACATTGGCGCCAATCAGCCGTGGCCATGTTCTTCACGACTCACCTTCGTTCATATTAGTTCTATTTTAATTTCATCATCTGATAGACAACGACGAATAAAGTCGTCTGTAAAACTTGTCAACTTTGTCTCCGTATCATTCCTAATCAAAATCACTTGGCAAACGTCATTTAAAACATCGAATTAATTGAATTTGGTCTAATGTGTTTATATATTTGTATGTTAGACACACACACACACACACACACACACACACATATATATATATATATATATATATATATATATATATATATTCGCATAGAAAACGTTAAAATTTTCATTCCTTTCTGCTTTGCGACGATAGCCTAGGGTAGAATCTCTGACTGATACCAAATCTGTGATTCATGTATGAAACAATCTATTTTTTTTAGGTGAATGACTATATATATATATATATATATATATATATATATATATATATATATTAAGATTTCTTTATCCATTTTTTCTTTGCCAAAACATGAAACAGCTTGTGTTTTAGAGTTTTCGTTTTAATATTGTTGACATTTTTATCTTTTATAAAGTTATAATTCATTTATATATATATGTGTGTGTGTGTGTGTGTGTATATGTGTGTGTGTGTGTGTGTGTGTGTGTGTGTGTCATATATTCCCCACCTCTTCCTTTTTTTTTTTTTTTTTTTTTGTGTGTGTGTGTTTGTGTGTGTGTGTGTGTGGATGTATCTAATTATGTCTGGAAATTTTAATGTCATATTTACTATAAACGAAAAGTCGTCAGTGGCTAGGAGAGCTCGATTTTTGTGGAAGATTAAATTGATTTTTAAAAGCAGCAACTACTGTTTATAAAATATAATTATTAGTTATAAAAATATATATATATATATATATATATATATAACTTTTTGAACTTTCTGTACTTCGTTTTTTGATTGGTTATTCTAGCTTTTGTAACAATGACCGCTTTTAAATCACGTTGAAACACCGGTTCCTGTTATAAATTTTTTTATAAAATAATTATATATATATGCGAATATTATAGCAGCATCTAACCTGGTCAGTATCTAGATGGCTTGGACGCCCAGGTGGCGGTATAATGGATAATGGCTCAGAATTGTTAATCAGAGAGCCGAGTCCCAATTCTCGTTGGGTTCGTTATATTCAATTACGCACAAATACACTTGAGAAAGCTATGAAATCACCTCTTCTCCCCCAGCTATGACTTAATTAGTAAGAATTAAACAATTATAAACCTCTTTCATGGGATACGTGTTTATAAAATCACCCTACCATATATATATATATATATATATATATATATATAACAAACTTTCACGATTTGTCGTTCGAATCTTCCATCCTGGTTCAAACCTGTTAATCAAAAGTCCCAATTCTCGTTGGGTTCGTTATATTTGACTGAAAACAGTCCTACACGATTTGTCGTTCGAATCTTATAGATCAAAAACTTGGACATTACATGTTATCTTGAAAGTCGACTGCATGGAACATATACAAATCTACTAAGAAAAATACAAAACATCAGTTGGAGATCCCATGCAACACTTAACACCATCTACGGTGAACTTAAACCAATCACTCTTAAATTCAAGTAAAAACGACTACAGTTTGCCGGCCACTGCAACCGAGTGGACAGGGAAATTGTCTCGTCCTTACTCCTATGACATCCCTCTAGAAGTGTTATCTCGCGAAAATTGTCTTTCCCAGACGCAATTACTCGGGACTCAGGGTTGGACATGAGGGATCTGGGGACAACATTACAGGAGCGAACAGTGTGGAAAGGGATTGTCAATGGCGTCCCAATCAACTATAGGGAGGTCGGAGGATGATGATGATGATGAAACCATAATTATCGCCAAAAAAATATTTTTACAATCTAAAAATATTTTCTGGCTTGATATAACCTCACGTAGAAAATGAATCAATCAATATATATTTAACATAGGATATTTAGCTAGCAATATTTCATTTAACCATACTGTGTTCGATAAAAATGATCAGGTGATACCTGCCAAGCCTTTTAATGCGGTTCCTTTGTTTTCTAATAAGTTGTTTGATGTCAGCCAGAAAATTGTAAAACAACTTTACTGAAATTAGGTTTAATGTTCCGTGGACATTCGACCATTGTTAGTCGTTTTCAAGCAGCGAAGACAGGAAGCCGAGAGACAGATTTATGATGTTAGAGGTTCAAAGTTTTCAAACAAACAAGGGATCTCCTGTGGAATAGATCTGGACGTCAAGTGACAAAAATCACCTTTAACACTTAACGACAAAAAACATTGGTTGTTTGGGTGTTTTTTTTTTTTGTTTGTTTGTTTTTGTTTTTTTGTGCAACCTGTGAAACTTATCAAAGTTAGTTGTAATGATCATCAAGACTTACCTTTCTAACCAGTATTCCTTGCCGATTGTTAATTGGTTGATTTTAATATCGAATTTTTGTATGTAACACCCAATGAGGATCGAGCCTTCTACTCAAAAGTGATTGCCAACCAGACTAGCTGCATTAGTAATTAATAATCATTACTGACTAATTACAAGCAGAAATGCATAATTAAATCGGTAATAATTCTAAACAACAAACAATTATATTTTGTATATTATCTTTTTTGCCAATGCACTTAAATCACTTATGAATATTTCTCAAATAGATCGAACAATTATTGATGAATTTTAAATCAAAATCAGGCTACGAATTTGTTTATCCCCTCTCGTAATTATTTCATCCACTGAGGAGGCCGAGGTATTTGCTAAGCTTTCTTTCAGTTTCCTTTCCATAGAAGTTGCAGATTTTCCAGTGCAGTTTTATATTCAATGGATGCCAATACATTGCAACCTGATACAAGATGATAAATTGTTTCTGGATATTTATCACAGAATCTGCATTTTAGGCTAACACAATATTTGAGCATGTGTGCTTGATAATTTCTAGTTAACAAGCATTGGTCCTGTGCAGCAATAATAAAACATTATTATTATTATTATTATTATTATTATTATTATTATATTTCCTTTGATTTCTGGTGTGTACACATTTCGTTCCGGGTCCGCCAAGAGACCTAAGGTTAGAAATGGCATCATGTTTTCCACTGTCAAAAAAAATAACATATTTTACATAGATAAAGCCCTTCGTAACGTGTGGGCTGTACTCGTAAGAACAATTTTTTTGTATTTCTTTAAGGCATGGGCTTCCAGGAATCTCTTCAACTAGTCTACTGGAATCTTTTCCAATCAATCCGAGGGATTCAACTACAACAGGAATTGTTGATGTTCCCATGTGCCACATTTTTGAGATTTCGATTTCAAGCTCCTTGTATTTTGATAGCTTTTTGAAGATCTTCAAAGATACATTGCAGTCCGCAGGGACTGCCATACCAATAAGGAGGCACTTTTTTGTTTGCAGTCTCTATTATTATTATTATTATTAAGCATTTCTTTTTGACCTGCATTTGTTTTATAAACCAATTCCAGGTCATCGCTAATGACATCGATTCAATAGTTTTCCAATACAGCAAAAAACTTCGAATAATTGTTTAACAATTTCTTTATTTCTTTATTGCTGAAAACATTTTAACAAAACAGCCTGAGATGCTTTCAGAATACCGATTTTCTATTTGCTAAAACAGAGACTGTTTGATAAACATACGAGATCCGATATTGACACCTTCTTATGGCTGCCACCAGAACAAGAAAAGAAGTGAATTAAACGGAATAAATCTTACAACCAAATGAAAGATTCATCGCTTTTTCTTGTTTTTGGTTGACATCTACTTTCAGCCGGTAAAAACCAGTATTTGAAAATCCCATCGCAAGTCACGCTTCTTGACTTATTTTACTTACCTGCGAAACCGACATCATACATTCTTTCAGTTCGATATTCGATTTGCTGAAAAGGAAAATAAATATGCGAAGGTAAGCAAAAGAGAAAATTTGTCCTTTTTATTCAATTCTCTGTGTTTATCCGTGTTAAAATCAAGACAAAAAAGGAATCAAGCAAATTTCGAAGTTTCTTCTTCTTGTAGAAAGAAAGAATATAAAGCAAAACTGAAGGCAGTATTGTAAAAAGGAAGCTGTATAAGAAAAAGAAAGAAACTATATAAGAAAGAAAGAAACTATATAAGAAAAATTATAGAAACTATATCAGAAAGGAAGAAACTAAATAAGAAAAAAGAAACAATAAAAGAAACTATATAAGAAAAATGACAGAGACTATATAAGATAGAATCTATATAAGAAAGAAAGAAACCATATAAGAAAAAAAGAAATTAGAGAAGAAAGAAACTATATAAGGAAAAAGAAGCTATATAAGAACGATAGAAACTAGATAATAAAAAAGACAGAAACTATATAAGAAAGAAACTATATAAGAAAAAAGAACTATATAAGAAAAAAAGAAACTATATAAGAAAAAAAGAAGTTATACAGGAAAAAAGAAACTATAGAAGAAAGAAACTATATAAGCTAAATAAAACTATACAAGAAAGAAAGAAAGAAAGGATGAAAGAAAGAAAGAATGAAAGAAAAAAGAAAGAATGAAAGAAAGAAAGAAAGAAAGGATGAAAGAAAGAAAGAATGAAAGAAAAAAGAAAGAAAGAAAGAAAGAAAGAATGAATGAATGAATGAATGAAAGAAAGAAAGAAAGAAAGAAAGAAAGAAAGAAAGATCAAAGAAAGAATGAATGAATGAAAGAAAGAAAGAATGAAAGAACGAAAGAAAGAAAAAAGAAAGAAAGAAAGAATGAATGAATGAATGAATGAATGAATGAAAGAAAGAATGAAAGAACGAAAGAAAGAAAAAAGAAAAAATGTAAGAATGAAAGAAAGAAAGAAAAAAGAAAGAAAGAATGAATGAATGAAAAAAGAAAGAAAAAAGAAAGAAAAAAAAAAGAAAGAAAGAATGAATGAAAGAAAGAAAAAAGAAAGATAGAGTGACAGAAAGAAAGAAAGAAAAAAGAAAAAAGTAAGAAAGAAAGAAAGAATGAATGAACGAAAGAAAGAAAGAGAGAAAGAAAGAAAAAAGAAACTATATAATAAAAAATGAAACTATAAACGAAAAAGAAAGGCTATATTACAAAAAAAAAAAAAACTAAAATTGTAATATTATTCTCACCGAGAGAAAATTTGAGCAAAATTTCTTCTCGTTTCGAAATTCAGCACATTTCGGATATTGGTTGTTTTTTGTATCCAACATTTTTTTCCTCAACTCATAACATAAGTATTGTGGGAACCTAACCTACCTACAAATGGACTCTTCCACACTTATATAATGTGGCTATCAACTATGAGTTGGGGAGGAAGCCACCATTGACCGAAAGTACTCTCCTGTCCACGTTTACTGTTGTACTTCTTTTATCGAGAATATATTATTAAACCTTATATCTGAGTCCGTGTTATCTTTTATGGTCTAACACCATAGCAATAACATAACTTCTGATTGCTCGAAATCAAACAATGGTCTTTCGTTTTATAAAGTTGTCTCCAAAATTTACTATTTTCTCACCGAGTGATGCGTAAGAAATTAAAAAATTAATTTATAGGTACTCATCCAAACTCACTTATATAGACATTTACTAAACTTTGCTTACTCTGCCACAAGATTACAACTATATGGCAGCAAGTTAGTATCGATATCGTGAGATCAGTAAGTTTGCAACACTAGTTCTGTAACCACTCCGAAGTGAACAAACTGTATATGCATACGCGATACGCATGTCTGCACATATAAGTGAATGGGAAGAATATTATTTTTAAGTTGTTTGATTGGTTGTTTTTGTTTCATAGCATATCATCCTCTATCTGATATTTAATGCCGAAATTTAAATATTGTGTATAAAATTTAGTTTTTTTTTATATCAAATATTTACTAATTGGCCGATACTTTCCGGGAGAAAAGATGGATTCATAGCCAAGGTTATTTGCACGCAAGTAAATAAAACGAACCCAACAAGAATTAGAACACAGCTTTCCGATTAAAAATTCCAAGTCCACCCGCTTAAACGAACTTGCAGCACCTGGGATTTCAAAGCGGTCACCCATCTAGATACAGACAAAGCTCGACGTTGTTTAACTTCGGTGACCGGTGTTTCAATGTGATCTGGCCGTAAGCCCATCTCGATTATGATTGTGAAAAAAGATGGACGACCGTCTCTTAAAGAAAATAATATTAAAAAAAATTGATATCATCTGAATTTATAACATTACATAAACGTGAAAAAGCCTAAATACTCAATATGCTAAAAGATATTAGCATATAAAAGATATCGTTAATCCACCTGTCATATATTTTAAAGCGAAAGATTATCTTTTCCTTTAATATTCGTTTTTTAAATCATTTTCCCCATTTATGATATGCAAAACAAGGCTCAACAATATATAATTATAATTGTCGGACTTTGTCCATTTCATAATGTGTGACGTCATATTTGATACGCTATGAGCAGATATGAATGTACGTGAGAGATTCATGGAAGTTTATAAGCAGTAAATTCGACCTTACCAACCGAGAGGTAAGGCAAGTCAGGCTATGTGACGGTTCCGTATAGGATACAGGTTCGAATCCTGTTGAAGGATGAATATTTTCTATGAAAATTTCTCGGACATTCAGGCCGGTAAATGTTGTCTAATACTGTTTATTATAAACAGAACATTTACTTAAATACTTGTATCAATAAAAAGAATGTTAAACATAAAAATGTCTTTAAATGTAATTTATGTGGAAACATAACGACCAGAATAAATCCCATTCACGTTGCATTTCAGTACAACGACTTTTCTCTCTTAATTCTGTATTCATATCATATATATATATATATATATATATATATATAAGGGAGAGGTTATAGCTGTTCCAACGAGAGAAAACTGTATATTTTAAAGAGAAGAGAAAAACCGCAAACGTTTTTGGTTATAATGTGCATTTTTTTAAAATATATATTATACTTTATTTTCAGTATTTTAAAATTAATTCCTTTGAATAATATGTGGAAATAAACAATCTTTACCTGATGAAGGTCGCGAGACCGAAAACTCGTGTAGCAAAAATATGTAATCTTGTGGCAGTGTAAGCAAAGTATAGTAAATGTCTATATAAGTGAGTTTGGATGGGTACCTATAAATTAATTTTTCAATTTCTTACGCATTACTCGGTGAGAAAAGAATCAAAAATATATTATCTTGCCTACTAATTGCATCAAATCTACAATTGAAAAAATCTATCTAAAATCAGCATAAAATTTGTTACTACTACATCTAAAACTTTGTCAGGAGAGGCCGTTTTTCTGTTATAGAATATTTTATGGACCTTTTATTTCGCATTAGAGAAGATAAAATAATTAGAGAAGTTTGGAAGTGTTTTCAATGTATTTCTCCTCTTCGTGTAAATAATCCGAGCTGCATATTCTTAGTAATCTTAAGTAGAATCCGATGATTATACCGGATTTTATTTTATTAGGATGGGAATAGAAATTTATTAGGACGTTTTTGTTGGTTGATTTCAGGTGGATACCGTGTTTAAAACTGTTGGTAATACGGTGTAACTTGATATCTAGGAAGGGTGATGAATTGTTTTCTTTTATTTTGTATGGAAATTCCATTGTGCTCGACTTTGTTTAGTTGATCTTCTAGGTCAGGTAAATCAGTACCTATCTACCCGATGTAGTCCTAACGGATGAAACACGTGACAAAACCTTTTTCTAATAAATATATATATATATATATATATATATATATATATAATTTTTTTTTTAAATATTATAATAATATTTTGAGGTATTGAGCACTTTTTTAAAAAGCAAATGCTACAAACTGTAGATTTTCATTCCATTTCTTTTTCTCTTATTTGTATATATATATATATATATATATATATATATATATATATATATATATATATTATGGGTATATATATATATATTTGGGTATTTTATATATATATATATATATAAATACTTATTTATATTCTGTTCTAATGTTACCTCTTTGGCCGGCGTACCCTGACGATCCGCGTAGGTGAAACCTAGGTAGGTTTACTTGGCTCTTTAGGTTCGTAGTTAGATTTGCTCTTCTTAGTGTATTGAGCACTTTGCTTAGCTATTTTTACTTTACTCATTTCGGAGGGTTTTTTTTTTCTTTGGACTCTGAGCTTGGATTCTGGTTGATTGTTTTCGCCTGAATTACATGTTCTTAGTTCTTTGTTTTTTTATTCCTTATTTCTCTTTGGGTATTGGTTTGTTCATTTACAAAGCCAAAACACCTAAGGTTTTTCCGGACGAGTATACTTACTTATATTTATAAGATTATTATTATTATTTTTATATATATATATATATATATATATATAGTCAAACCTAGAGACCCAGACAAACCTACCAAGGTTTCACCTAAGCGGATCGTCAGGGTACGCCGGCTTAGGTGAAACCTTGGTAGGTTTGTCTGGCTCTCTAGGTTTGAGTAGATCCGCTCTACTTTTGTATTGAGCACTTTTAAGTTAGTTGATTACTCGTATCGGTTTTTTTTTTCTTTGGGCTTTGGACCTGTATGCTGTACGATTATTTTCGACAGACGTTCATGTTCATAGCTCTTTCTTATTTTTAAAACCTTTTTTTTTTTTCCTTCGAAATTGATTTGACCATTAGCAAATCAAAAAACCGAAGGAAGGTTTTCCAAGACGAGTGTAGTTATATATATATATATATATATATATATATATATATATAAGAATTAGTGGTTATCTTTTAATTCGATATACTTTTTATTACTTGTGTTAGCCGGTAGACGAAATAAACTCTTAAAAAAAAGAACCCTCGGTTAGGGTAGCTTTATTAAGCTTTCTTGTGTATGCAGATTGGTAGACGAAATAAATACTATTCGAAATAAAGAGAGCGTCTACTTATATACGGGTATCCACTAAAAATAACGTAATAAAAATATGTCCGATAAAAAAATAAAATCGATTCATATTAACCCTCTAATACGGAAAAAATATCGAAGCAATTCTTTTTCGTTTCTTTCATTAACTCCTTAAATCTCAATATTTCTCGTGTTTTTCTTGTGTCCACGAGGAAGTGCTGAATATCTCTTCGTCCGACCCACATCCTAGAATCTGCCCAAATGGCCAAGCATGAGTATTTCTTTTGTAATCCTTTCTTGATCTATCCGAAATCTTTTCAGCTTCCCATTATATACGAATCCATTCCTTCACCAAGAAAACCTCTTTCATGCTTTTCACTGTGTTGCTTTCCCTTGATTATATCCGTCTCTACGAAACGATTTACTCTTGATATTTCTTTCTATACATCTATCTATCTATCTATCACACTCTGTTCATATCTATCTATCCATCTATATATATATATATATATATATATATATATATATATATATATATATATACATATATATATATATATATATATGTGTATATGTATACACTGCGTGCCAAATTATTATCGAGATAACGTTTTTTCTAATATTAAAAAAACCGTCCAATCAATTCACACAAATTTTCCCACTATGTTGGCAACACTGACCTGCGCAATCACTGAAATTTTCGACCTGATCTGCGCAATGTAAACAAATTGGCACCATATTTGTTATCAGCACGGTGATTTGAGCGTGCCAAATTATTAGAAAAGTGTAAGAATTACTTAAACTGCTTTTATGGCCCATCTTTTTACTAAATTCTTACACTTTTCTAATAATTTGGCACGTTCAAATCACCGTACTGATAACAAATATGGTGCCAGTTTGTTTACATTGTGCAGATCAGGTCGAAAAATTTCAGTGATTGCGCAGGTCAGTGTTGCCAACATTGTGTAAATTGATTGGACGGTTTTTGAAATATTAGAAAAAATATATCTCGATAATAATTTGGCACGCAGTGTATATATTTTGAACAATAAAAAATATTAAAAAATTAAAATCTTCAGACACTTTGGGTTGTTGATTAATATTCTTTCGTTTTTATTATTATCATTTCATTTAGATTCCTCGACTAGTTTCGGCCAAAATGGCCATCATCAGGAGAAGAAATATTTCTGCTTGCTGGTAGCAGTAAACTACAGAAATGAATGTCTTGATGGAGAAAATGAACTTATTAGGACCAAGGAAGAACAACACGAACACAAGAGTAGAAATAACGAAGGTATATTACACAAAATAATAATACAAGATGTGTATGACTGTTAGTCTGGT